TTATAGTTCATGACATTCTTATAGTTCATGACATTCTTATAGTTCATGAAATTCTTATAGTTCATGACATTCTTATAGTTCATGACATTCTTATAGTTCATGACATTCTTATAGTTCATTCATTCTCATTTAATATCATATTCTTATTTCATGTCGTTCTTATAGTTTAAAACATTCTTAGTTAAGGTCATTCTTAGTTCATGTCAATCTTAGTTCATGTCATTCTTTGTTTATGTCCTTCTTTGTTCATGTTATTCTTAGTTCATGTTATATTTAGATCATGACATTCTAAGTTCAAATAATCATGATTTTATGTCATTTTTAGTCCTTGCCGTTCTTAGTTCAAATCATTCAATGTTTCATTTTAGAAAAATAATCGCTTTTTACATTTTGCGTATTTTTGATTTTGTTGCAAAATATTTGGCTAAAATGTTTTTCAGGCGCCAAGACAAAATGTACTCTTATAACACGTCAGCTTTACTGTTCCCGGACAAGCCTGTGAACTTTAACCTTGAATAAAAGCAGACTAATATTATTACAGGCGGAGAATATTAAACTAGGTTATGTATAATTAAAACTATTTTTTTCCTTCACTAGGTGAGTGAGATTTTAAAAAAATCTTGAATATAATGAAAGAGACGCATGCAATAATGGATATTAAATATTCTTATCCCTTTATCTTGGCAACCCAATGTCGTAGACCTTAGATATTTCAAACTATTAATTCTGTTAGATCAAATAATCTAAGTTTGAAATATCAAGGGTTTATACCTACTGGTTCCAGAGATATAGAAATTAGAAAATTTGAGGCTGTGGCAAAAACTCAATTCCTATGTATATTTAGATTTTCCTCTGAAGAAATGCACCAATTTCACCCACAAAGGGTAAGACTTCAAGGACGACTGTACGTAAATTTTTCAGTCTTTACATGTCACTTGTTCGCTTCCAACTCATTAAGGAAGAGGATCAAATATCAAACCTTCAAATTGTCATATTTATTTCAGTTTTGGATCTTCATACAAATCTCATCCTTTGTTGGGAACCCTGTAGTGTTGTTATGCCCTGAGCCCAAAACTTAAGACAGGGTATCGTTAAGAAAACCAGTTTTAAAACCCGGGTTTCAGGAATGGGGTTACACAGTTTTGTGAATATCAATATTTTTGTTATGAAATATAATTTTTTTCAGTTTGATTATATTTTCCATTTTTTTCGAATTTCTTAAATCAAAATCTACATGAATGTTAAGACCCCAAAAAGGAAACTCCCGAGTTTTGTTTAACGATACTCTTTTAAATTTCGGGCTCTGGTGGTTTCAAATGAATTAATACTACAAATTGTGTACAGGGGATAAACAAGTTCATAAGGAAACCTCAAACTCTCACATTCTGTTAATAATTTAGAACAAAATATTCGTAATAACGGAATGCTTGCTTTAGTTCGATATAACAAACAAAATGTTTTCTTCCTAAAGAGAATAAACCAGAGTTCAAGAAATCAAATGAGGAAATGGTCATTAGCCAGGGATCAAATGACAATATAACACCGTGAGCTAGTGGGGTATACGATTATATCATATGTTCCATGTAAATAAACTTGAAAGTGTGATTTAGCAGAATCATATGGGATTATACCTTGATTGATGACGGTCTTTCATCAGTTTCAGTTGTTGCCTTAAGTTATCCTCCATTTGTAAGGAGAATGACCGATTTAAAACGGTACTCTTGAAACCTTAATCGGATCAATAACGTGGAAGAGAACGTCGTTTTTTATCTTAAAAAGTGTTTAAAGGGGGTGTTCGCGAAAAATGAAAGGGGGTATAGGCTTAATGCGATAAAAAAGCGCTTTGATCGCTACTAATCTTACTTCTATCTGTTGCGTCTATAAGGAGAAAATTGATAAAGACGTCTCATACCGTACAGCATAGCGCCCATACAAATTGAGGAAGTTGGAACATACGACTTAGACCGTAAAAAAATCAAATTAATATCAAACAAATCATTCAGATATTACAACCTATAGTCATCGATTATCTTTCGCCACATTTGTATATATTTAATATTCCATACTAGTTTTGATTTTGTTTTTTAAAATAATATTTAGCTTACAACTTGTTTTCGAACATTCCTGGAAAATATGAAAATGTCGTCTTCATTACTAAAAAATCCTCGAAACAGGAATAAACGTTTTTATAAGTAACTCTCAGATCATAGCAATTAAAACATATTATGTAAAATCAACTATATATAAATGTGGCGAAAGATAATCGATGACTATAGGTTGTAATATCTGAATGATTTGTTTGAAATTAAATTGATTTTTTACGGTCTAAGTCATATGTTGCAATTTTCTCAATTTGTATGGACGCCATGTTATTCGGTTTGAGACGTCTTTAACAATTTTCTCCTTATAGACGCAACAGATAGAAGTAAGATTAGTGGCGATCAAAAGCGCTTTTTTATCGCATTAAGCATATACCTCTTTCATTTTTCGCGAACACTCCCTTTAAATCTGACAATTTCTCAATTATTTATGTGGCAAGAAATTCATAAAGATATTTGTTATATAGAGAACCTACAAATGAAATCAATCAGATTCAAAAACTAAAAAATTAATCTAAATCTTACTTGATTTTAGAAAGATTTCAAGCTTATACAGTTGTGAATCTGATACCCCCCGCTATCAATCCAGGGTCACTTGAAACTACGTTTATAGTTCCTTGCATAAAATATATTTGATTGAGGTTCAAAGTTAACTTCGACTTCATTAGTCATTATTCATTAAAAATACATAATGAATCAATTTATGCCGATATATGTCACATGTGTACTGTTTTATTCTAGAAATAGTTTTAATTAAAGTATATTTATTTATTCGAAAACGTAGGTCTATGCAATATACAATATACAATATACAATATATAATATATAATATACAATTTCAGTGCTGTGCGTGCAAAAGGCAAGCCCAGATTGTTGCAAAACCCTAGGTTTAGAGCCTAGATTGTTGCAAAACCCTAGGTTATAGAGCCTAGATTGTTGCAAAACTCTAGGTTATAGAGCCTAGATTGTTTCAAAACTCTAGGTTTAAAGCCTAGATTGTTGCAAAACTCTAGGTTTAGAGCCCAGATTGTTGCAAAACTCTAGGTTTAGAGCCTAGATTGTTGCAAAACTCTAGGTTTAGAGCCTAGATTGCTGCCGTGAATTCAAGCATGCATGGTTGTAGCTATAACACGCGCACACAATATACATACAGACTTGTTTTGATAGATATATTGTAAAACTACAAAAGCGACAATTTAAGGAACAAAAGCCGTATTAAGAGTATATTGCATTAAACCTTTCTCCCCTATCTAACCTGGCTGGTCATTTATTCAAGGGAAGGGGGTCAGTCAGCTGCCGGAATAATGGGCCAGGATGCAGCTATGGCAAGGTGCAGGTTTAGTTTACCATCTTCGGCGGCTTCTATGATCCTGTTTTATCAACACATTCCTATTCTTGTTCCCTTTTAACAGAGGTGAGGGGTGTGGTCTACACGACCCCTTAGAGTGTGGGCGGGGGGGGATGGTTACAATAAAGACAAAAAACATACTGCCTTAAATACTGGTTCTTTAATGTAAACATTGAAGGGAAGAGTAAAGAAGTAAGGAAGAAGGAAGAAAGAAGTTAGAAAGAAGGAAGAAAGAAGGAAGAAAGAAGGAAGAAAGAAGGAAAAAAAATGATTAAAGAAGGAAGAAAGAAGGAAGAAAGAAGGAAGAAAGAAGGAAGAAAGAAGGAAGAAAGAAGGAAGAAAGAAGGAAGAAAGAAGGAAGAAAGGAGGAAGAAAGAAGCAAGAAAGAAGGAAGAAAGAAGGAAGAAAGAAGGAAGAAAGAAGGAAGAAAGAAGGAAGAAAGAAGGAAGAAAGAAGGAAGAAAGAAGGAAGAAAGAAGGAAGAAAGGAAAAGGAAAGAAGAAAGAAAAGTGAAAAGTGAAAAGTGAAAAAATAAAGAATGAATAAAGAAGAAAGAAAAAGGGAAGAAGAAAGAAAGAGTAGAGAAGGAAGAAAGAGTAAAGAAGGAAGAATTGAAGAGGAAAGAAGAAAGAAAAGTGAAAAAATAAAGAATGATTAAAGAAGAAAGAAAGAGTAAAGAAGAAAGAAAGAGTAAAGAAGGAAGAACGAGTAAAGAGGTAAGAAAGAAGGAAGAAAGAAGGAAGTATGGAAGAGGAAAGAAGAAAGAAAGAGTAAAGAATAAAAATGAATAGAGAAGAAAGAAAGAGTAAAGACGGAAGAAAGAGTAAAGAAGGAAGAACGAGTAAAGAAGGAAGAAAGAAGGAAGCATGGAAGAGGAAAGAAGAAAGAAAGAGTAAAGAATAAAAAATGATAAAGAAAAAGAGGAAGAAAGAAGAAAGAAGAAAGTTAGAGTAAAGAAGGAAGAATGAGAGAGAAAAGAATGGAGAATGGAAGAGGAAAGAAGGATGAAAGAAAGAGGAATAAAAAAGAAAAGAAGGGGGAAAATTAGGAGGAAAGAAGAAGGAATGAAAGAGATAACAACAAAGAAATAAAGAAAGAGGAATGAAAGAGAAAAGGAGGAACATGAAAGGATTCATTAAAAACGAAAAAGCGAAAAAGAAAAAAGAAAGAATGACGGTGAAAAGAAGGAAGAAGAAGAACGAAAAAGAAGGAGAAAAGAGGGAAAAATGGAGGAAAAAAGAAGAAAGAATGAAAAAGGAAAAATGAAAAAGAAAGAGGAAATAAGTGTGGAAGACGATGTTTCGACCTCCAAAACAGAGTTCCACAACAGAAGGAGAACGCGGTATTCTGCTTAGCCTCGTGTGATCGATATATAGTTAGTTATACAAAGTTTTGTCATATCAATAAATATATACTGGAATGAGTCTAACCGAGTTTCATTAGAGTCCGTCCTCCGACCTCTAAATTGGTGACCCCGAGCGAAGAACATTCAGTGATTTTTCCAGTACTCGAGTGATACGTGATTCTGAACTTTAATTCTACTACTTCGTGAAGATGATGGATGTACCGGCTGCCACACCCACCTCGCAGTTTGTCGCAAAGCTGGCTGTCAAACTTCCAGATTTTTGGACGGATGACCCTGATCTTTGGTTTTTGCATGCTGAGTCTGCCTTCAGAAACTCCCAGGTTACTCAGTCGCAGACCAAATTCGATCATGTGATACAGAAACTACCCCAAAACATCATGGTTTCGGTTCGAGGTCTGATTATGAACGCGACCTCGTCCTCTACTCCTTATGAAGATCTAAAGGCGAAGTTAGTTTCCTCCTATACTCTAACGCGTTGGCAGAGAATTAACAAACTAATCCATCATCCTGCCCTAGGTGACAGACGTCCTACTGCTCTGATGGATGCTATGCTCGCTCTCTTACCTGATGATGAAGTCCCTGGCAGTCTGTTTCTCGGGTTGTTTCTGGAGAGACTGCCCGTAGAAATGAGAGATCATCTGGTTGCAAGCGAATTCAAGAACCCCAGCGAGATGGCTCTGCACGCTGATAAACTCTGGGATGCTCGCAGAACACAGTCAAGTGATCCTCTCCTTGCTGCAGCAGCTACTTCTCCGTCTCGTGCTCGCACCCGTGAGCGAGGTAGTACTTCTCCTTCTCGTCGAGCCCAGACTCCAGGCCCTTCTGCTGCTGGAGAATGTTATTTTCACAAGCGTTTCGGCTCAGCAGCAAATAACTGTCGTCCTCCCTGCAACTTCCCGGGAAACGCCAGAGCCGGCGGGAACAGGAAGAATTAAACGGTCTTCCCGTCGGCGGTTATCTCATTTATTTATCTGATGTTCTTACAAATCGAGATTT